ACCTGTCCTTCCCCAGGCTTACCCCTAAACATGTGCCTCATAGCACCATTTACTCTTGCCTAAAAGGGCTCCTGGGACCAGATCTGGCCCCAGATTTGGCTCATGGGATCTCAAAATGGGCTCCTGGGACCAGATTTGGCCCCAGACATTCAAATCCAGGAGGGAATAGACATTTGAGGGGTTTCTAACATTGTTACCTCTAAAGGCCTCCACAAGTCTGCATAAAAACTTATGACTCAATGACACACTCTCTTCCCTTGCACAAATTGCTTATGCCAGTTTATAAATGAGCCTATATATGTATAAAAATTGGTTATGTGGTGAAGAGTGATTCTATCATCCACATGGGAAAATCCTCCTCTAAGAAACACTCCGTACACTATGAAGAAGAATCCGAGTCCTTGTTGCAGTGAAAACATGAAGTGAGAAGTCTGGGGCTTGTCTGTGAAGCCATGGCATTGAGAGACCCTCCAGAGGGTTGTGACTTTTGAATTTTAAAACCACTACAGACTGGGGATACTGCATTTGGCTTCTTTCTTTCAAGTTCTTGCCTGAAGTGAACTTTTGATGGCATATATTGATTGCTTTTACTTAAAGATGACTCCTACCCTGCCACAACAGAAGGAGACCTACACATTTCTTCCCAGTGGCCTGTAGGCTTCAGAAAGCAGAAGCCTGTTCTGCTCTGGCACTGTGCACATCACATGATAGAAACTCAAGCACCAGCTGAATGAATACATTTCTGGTGACTACTCTCTGTGACTTGTGGAGGATTACATTCAAAGTTTCACATTCTCCATGTTAGACTGACTTTCTGGAGCACATGATTAAAATACTAAGGCAAGCTGTTAACCATATACAGCCCAACACATGGATTTGTAAGTTTCAATCTTTCATGCAAATCACCCAGCGGTAAGGTGAGGGACATTAGACTAATGATTTTGAGCCAGATGACTTGAATGTTATGATATCATCTAGTGTGAAACTGAGCTTTCCTACTTGGAAACAAGTTATCCCCAAAGAACCGGTTCTGCATATTAAAACATCTGAATCCACACTTAAACCAAGCTCTACTAACAAGCCTAGACACTGACTCAGTTAATAGGCTAACTGGTTTAGTCATTAGAAGTAAATTTTTAATCAAAGTTTTCATATTCTTAAAATTAAGTTTTAGACCAAGGGCAGATAAGTAGCGTAATTTTATTTGCTGTAATTCATTCCATTCTCTAATGTTTGGGAAAAAAAAAAAACAATAAAAAACATGCGTTTTCATTTAAATACCTTATGACCTGTGGCAGTTGTCAAAAATCCTGCTGACCTGATGTGAACAGTATATCATCTCGATGCCTGTATCACATCTCTCCACGATGAAAGGAACTCACATATTCTTTCTAGTCTCTTCTTTAGCAGTTAGTGTCGTTTGCATCTATGTTTTATAAAGACTTGAATCTTAAATCCCTTGAATCTGATAGGCAGGCCTACAAACCCAGCAGCACGAAGTTCTGCTCTGACTGCATCTGTGTGTGACCTGGTTCAGGATGAGAGGATTCAGGAAGGGCAGAACTGCTCAAATTTTCACAGCTCCATGCCTCTCTTCCCTTTCCTACCAAGTCCTCCCCTCCCACTGATCCCTGACCTTCCCCAAGATACAGCAACAGCATCGAGGCTCCATTTCCTATCCTACCTGCCCCTCCTGCTCCTCTTTCCACCACGGCCTTCCCAGTCCTGTGCCCGCATATTTAGTTTCCAAAACACCTGCTCCTGAGTTCTGCGGTTCTAGCTACTGATTCTTCAGTTTTACCTGGACTGATCTAAATTTCCCTTATCCTTTCTTAAACCCTCCCCTGAGTCCTACTTATAATACACAATTTTCCACTACTATAATAAAGGCAGCCTAAAAACAGTTCCAGATCTGCCACCAGCTGGGTTATACAATTTCATCTCTTCAGGTTCCGTTTTCTCATGTGTGAAATGTGAGGGTTAAAAGAGAGAAAGAAGGAAAGTAACACTGACCAGACACTGCAGGTCTGGCGAGTCTTCTTGCAATGGTAAAGGGAGGGAGGGACAGTCACCTGTGTGTTCCAGATGAAGAATATAAAGTTCGCAACAGGTAAATGTGCCCAGGGCTTCCTGGTGTCAGCAGAGGGACTGGCCCAGCCCTGCCACAGCTCTCTCCTCCTGGAATCCTTCAGGTATCAATATGCTCTTGTCCTTGCCTTAACGGCAGCACCAGAGCCTGGGCGCTAACCAGCCCTAAAAGCTCTCAAGTCACACCAGGAAAGATCACCTGCATTAGAGAAACGTGGGGCTCTCGATCACAGGGAATGAACTGGGACAAGATGACCCAGGAAATCTCACACTGAAATATCAAAGTATTTTAAAAACCAACCAACCAATCCCACAAAACCTGCTTCATCCTCTGCTCATGGCACAGACCTCCTGAAGATGCATGCTGCTCTCTGACCTGCAGGGAAAGCTGGCCCTCAGGTCACTGCTGCAGACTGAGGACAGCAACTGTACACACAGAGACAGGGCCCAGGAAATGTGGGCCGGAATCAAACCATGCGTGCAAGTTCACAGCAGGCGTTTTGCACTCTGGTCCTGACTCCAGTTGCCCTGTCCATGCTATAGGTCATCACCACCTTTCTTGCACTGGCCCAAGCCTGAATGCTAACACTGTCTTAGGACCCTTAGAATCCACAGGAAATTTCAGAGGGTGCAACTTATATAGAACCTCAGTGCTGCTATGAAGACAGTGGAGCTAGAAAACAGCCAGTGTGGGCCATGATGAGAAGCAGCCATACCAAAAAGTGCAGCCTCTTCCCCTTTTAACACCCATGGGAAGTGACAGGAAGATGATGATAAAACCTGTGTGAGACAGGGAAGGAGAAGAGTAGGAACTGGCAAATGGTGTTCACTTGTTTTCAAAGTAGAAATGAAGCAACATTTCATTCTGGCAGTCAGGTCCTAAAATAGTACCAGACACACAGGAATTTCATCAGTATCTTATGAAATAGAGCTCCTTGTTCCCCATGATACAGGTTCATGCAACAGAGCTAAGCACCTGTTATTACCAAGCACCAAAACTCTAAAGCACTTTTTTTTTGAGACAGGGCTGGTCTTGAACTCACGGCGATCCTCCTGTCTCAGTCTCCGGAATACTGGGATTACAGGCACACACCACCATGCCGTGCTCCACAGCACTTTTAAATTTAAATGTGTACACTCTCTGAAATGCAAGTTCAGCATCTTAGAAACCTAAGACCTATAAATTTTGAAAACCAGAGCTAGATCTATGTCTAGAAGGAAAGAGAAAAGTCAGCATACCTATACTCACATACTGGACAGTAAAATTGTAGATTTTAATTTTTTCTGCTAATCTATAATTTTTAATTGTTCTACAATATAATTATTTTATTAAGACATAATAACTTTATGCTAAGCTGGAACTTAAAAATCACATTGTGAGAGCTGTCACGATTTCTCATATAAGAATGAGGCATTTCTTATAGTTATAGCTAAATTATAAACATTTAAACTGCGCCCTTGCCAAATACCCCTCTCATAGTGATGGCAAAACTACTGTGGTACTCCTGGTACTCTACAGAAAAGGAAGAATGCCAAAGCCTCACACCAATATAGTAGGAAAAGTTACACTCTCATCCTTATGGGTATGTGATTAGCTGAGATAGGATGTTAGGTACACACCTTTACCTTCTCAGTAGAAATAAAGTGTAAAGCCAACTTTGCTCAGTAGTTCACTCATTCTATATTTACATAGGTATATATGATATGAATTAGACTGATATATCTTTACATATTTTAAGAATTCATCGAAAGTGAATCCAAGAACTTGCCTAAAATAAAACCAAGAACAAACACCCCACAAATAACAAAAAGCTACTAATCAAGCCAGGAATTGTACATTCTTCCTCTAGGGCAATTAATGCAGAAGAAATTGGAGAGGGCCTTTCACCTCTCCATCTAAAGACAGTAAATAAGACAATTCTCTTTCAAAACATCCTTCTGCACATATGTTGAAAGGGATAAACACTGAAAAGTAATCCTTGCTTAGAGGAAAGAAGCAACTACACAGCATTGAGCAGGTAAAGCATCAAAAGGACAGAGAAGTTGGCTTCTTCAGTTTTTAGTTTTTTGGTTTTTGTCTGTTAATGTTCCTTGAAAAGAGATGAAGAAGGGAGAAAGGTAGAGCAGGAACACTAAGGAAAACAATACTAAAAGAGTCCTGAGGTTACCCTATGCCAGTGGTGGCAAACCCATGGCACACGTGCCACAGTTGCTGTTTGTTATCACTGCAAGCTCTAAAAGGTTCCCCATCACTGCCACCCTAGCTTAAAGCCCTAATTATATATGCTCTAGTTTAATTTCCAATAACTAGGAGAGCATGATCTTCATTCTTCCCAAGTCATATGTAACCATGACACTCAACAATTAAAGCTAAGATGCCTTTTGAATGTTCTTGTTTCTCTGCTTCCTGTCCCAAGTGCTATAGCTACATTACTCTGGAAAGTTCCTACCCTTGGCTTATCTGTTGTGACATCCCAGAGTCGTTTCAGCAGTTCGACAGTGATTTTTAACTATCCTATGTGCCACAAATGTAATTCTTCATCCTACAACATTTGGTGATTCTCTTTCTTACTTAATATCACATCTGTGAGGACTGGGACTCTGTGCTGTCTTTTCCACTGGTGAATCCTCTGTGCCACCACAGAGCCTAGCGCAAGGGAGAAGCTCATGGTGCTTTCCGGTATAATATTCTGGTGACTATGACGGCACAACAGACTTACTTGGCCTCTTCTGTCTCTGTGCCCTATATTTTGGCTTCTACTTCTGTTTGTTGAGCACACTGATGTTTACAAAGTTTCCCCACAAATACTTGGTTGTGATTATGACCTTGATCAATATCACCTTCAACAGGGCTATGCTAATCAGAGGAAATGCAGAGGAAATTTGGGATGCAGGCTGGGGCACCCACTTACCGCCACTTCCACTGACTGCATGGAGAGGTCACATGGTGGCTTCAGGGCCTTGGGCCTTGTGGCATACCAGAAAGTGGTGAGCGCAGCAAAAGCTCCGAAGCCCATCAGTGTGTTGGTAGGAAGTGTGCGCATGTACTGCCGAAGGTCAACCAGCTCTGGCAGTCGAAAGTACTGGAGTAACTCGTGGGCTTGCATGGTCCCGTCCTGATGATGCCTGGGGGTGGGTTCTGTCAGAAGAGAAAGATGTCACTTTCATCCCGGGCGGCAGAACTCCTCTCCAGAATTCCCAAAGCGTGACCACCTAACTCTGTATGGCTGGCTGACCAATCAAGGCATTAAATCTACAGCCTCAGGGTCCAGGTCCTTTTCTGGCTATCAAATTTCATTTTTCTAAGAAACACCTTCAGGAATTCACTTTTGTTCTATTTCTCCATTATCTTGTATATAAAAAAAGGAAAACAACGATCATCTTGCTTTCATTAGTTACATTAAAAAGATTTTACTCAAAGAGGATGCTTGTCATAAAATGCTCAGTAAGTGGTACATGCTCCTACTCTCTTCCCTGACAGCATCTCCGTTCTCTCTACCTAATCAAATACACTCAATTCTCATTACCAAGGGTAGTGGAGACACAGCTGAGGAGGAACAAATAAGCCTGAGCCACTAAGAACCATCAGTTTCTGTTTCTTCCAAGAGATCTCAGAACAGGTCCTCCAACTGGTAAAACAGACCAAGCCAAATTTCAACACTTCCCTCACTTTCCCGGTGCTTTTCAAAGGTGACATATAAATGCAAGGAAACCACAGGCGACTATTATGATTAGATCATTTTTAAACTATTTCCCAAGATGTTATATTCAACATAAATGAATAAATTGGTGTGCATCACCTTTAAACCAAGTATCAAATATCCAGAGAGAAATTTTACTGTAACGTTTGAGAAAAGGTACAAAATAGTAACTAAGATTCTAGTTCTGGAATCAAATCCTGCTTTCCAGCTTATTAGCTGCACAAATTACTTTACCTCCCTGTACCTGTCTCCTCATCTATAAATGGAGATGAAAGCAATATCCATCTCCCTGGGTTTTGCGAACACTAAATGATTCACATAAAGACTTCTGGATGGTGCCACACACCAGTAAGTGCTCAATATAAACGTTAGATATTGTTATGATTTCCTCTACCAGTGCTCTTGTGATTCATCCTGAGTGCAGAACCGTCAGTTACTCAGGTAAAAAAAAAATGATGCCTACAGTTTACAAATAAAATCAAGAAGCCAAAACACAAAGCCAAATTAGATGAATAACTTGATAAATATCAAAGCCCCAAATTCAATGTTAGAATTTACATATAGACTAGTCTAAAATTAAATATGCACTACAGGTACTAGGGATAATCCTAAATTAAAAGTTACTGATGAACAACTGCTCTAAATTTTGGTAGCAAAGGTAAGGAAATAACACAAGTGAGCTGACAGACTTCTCAAATGCTCCTCAGCAATGCAACAAGCACTCACAGTGTAAGTTCAGATGGTATTTGTGAGCTACTTACTATATAAGCTTTTTAACAGCTAAGTCACAAAACTGAGAAGATTTTTTTTCTTTTTTTAGAGTAGAAATCTTGCATTTAAATTTAAGTCTATAATGTGTGTGTGTGTGTATATATATATATATATATATATATATATATATATATATATCTTTTCCCACAGAGTAGCAGCATGTTGGGCTATTTTTACTGACCAGTAATAGCACAAGTCCCAACAAAATCCATTTGCCCAGATCATTCAGTCTTGTGCTACCACAGCTCTGGGTTAAGAATACACATTTAGGGGCTGGGGATTTAGCTCAGCGGCACAGCGCCTGCCTGGCAAGCGCAAGGTTGTGAGTTCGATCCCCGGTACCAGAAAAAAACAACAACAAAAAGAATACACACTTGCTTACTCACAGTCACACCTACAACACACACACACACACACACACACACACAGAATATCAAGGTATTACATGACAACACAGAACAGATAAGTAAATATCTTCAGGTTATAATTCTAGACAGAAAGAATCAGCACTTACAAAACCACTCACCATCTGTGCCACCGACAGCTGACTGCTAGGTGACACGCCACTGAAGAAAGAAAAAAGGGCAGTGAAGCTGGGGGTGGGGCAGGGGCTAGAGAAGCTCAGCCAGAGCTTACCCGGCCTGCCAAGGTCTTTTAGGGCATTAGTCACATGCTGAGTCCTACACTGCTGCCCACTGGGCTAAAGGTAACTAGCAGACAAAATCCATACTTGACTTCTCAGGAGAACAGAGGGTGGAGGATGGGCCAATGAGGAGCTGGGAGCAGAGTCACCCCACTGCTCCACCCATGGGCAGGGACCGGCACCAGTGCTACCAGCACCAGTTCTGCAAACAGACACTGTTTTCTTTTTGCTCAGCTTCCCAGTAGGAAGAAACAATGGGCACATTTTAAAATCACTAAAGGAAGGATAGCGCATTGGGTATGATGTCTAACCAACATGAGGCATACCCAGAAAGAAAGAGACTGCCAAGAGTACATTCACAGCAGATTTATTCTAAATGAATTCATAGGAATTGAGCTATTTCTGTCACTTTGCATATTTGAGTGCCTACTGTCTGCCAGGCACTGTCCTAGAAGCTGGACAGGTAGCAGTGCTAATGACAGGGTCTAACTTTCAATGGGCTAACCATCTAGACGCACAGATATGAAATTAAACAGGCAAAGCCTGCCAGGCATCAGCGGGAGACTTCAAGGATGAGCAGGCAAATCAAGTCTAGGTCTTCTTGGCACTGAGCAGTGAGACTGCACACGTCCTGCAACTCTACAAATAAAACGACCTTAAAAATCTAATGTGCCAACTTGCCCTGCCCTCAAATCACTCCACCTTCTTGCTGTCTTACTATCCTGCAACACTCCAGGTGTGAACAGGAATACCCACCTCTTACATACACACCTTTCCCTTCTCTCTTCTTTTACCAATGTCCCAGAAGTAGTTTTCATAAAATCTAGATTGAATTGATAGAGGTTGTTCAATAGAATCACACCCCTGAGTGAAAAAAGACAAATAATTCCTCTCTAAACAAATACAATCATACACAGGGGGTTAATGTGTTTATGCTAAGCAGGATCAGCGAAACTATGAGCTGCATCATGCTAACAAAGTTTAGGGGAAAAACTGAAAAACCTCAGAAAATTATAAACTTAAAAGCATGCATGCAAGAGCATTTTATTAGATGTGAATCTATAATGCCAAGCACTTAAATTCAGCCAAATTCTTATATTTAGCGGTGATAATGACAAGCTATGACAGTTTCATCCTTGCCTCTTAGCTGGCAGCCAGGTAACAAGCTGCAATCCAATTTCACTGAGCAAACTGGTTAATGCCCTTCATAGGAAAATACAGTCTATGCACAGAGAACTAAGAAAGTGCCTCATTTAGAGCTAAGTAAAGAACAAAACTCTTCAGCATGAAATGGACAGATTTATAAATCTTTTTCCTTCTGTTTAGCTGCTGTTAAGGAAAGGGTATCCGGCTATTTAAAAATGGAGGCAGACCTACAAAGAAAACTGGACAGATTAACCTTTACTGGGTATATGTGAACATAAATGTCATGTTTTAAGATTCAGTCCTAACAACTCTCCAAGAAGCTGTAAGATTGATGTACTTGCTAATAAATGGTTAAAACTCAGTGACAGGTTTGTCCATATTTCAGTGGTGTTCTATTGGATTTTTAAAATTTTTTCAAAAAATTTCCATATCATCATCTAAGGAAGTAAATACCCGAGGCACATAAATCACGCTGCTGTTGCTAAGAATATGATTCAGTTGGCTTAAAGGCTTAGGAAGCCAGTATTTCTCCACAGAAAACAGACAAGTCTACTGACAGCCAACTTCTCCTTCCTCTACACTTACTCCTATGCACCTTCCTCCCGCCACTTACAAAAAGTGTTTGCTCAGCTGGGTCCCTGGAATTGCCTATGAAGCTGGAATCTCAAATCGCAGCATGATAGGAACGTAACAATAATCAGGGACATCTGGCACAAACCCAGCATAAAGAACCAGAGTGAGCAGAAGATGCCTTTAAATAGATGCGAGTAGAAGTAGAGGTAGCAGGGTGGGGGTAATAGAAACTGGATGGCTCAACCTCCAGGAAACAGGAATCCTTGCCTACAACCAGCATTTCCTTAGGGTTTGGGATTTTCATGTCTTGCCCCTTACTGGTACATCACAATAGTAAAATGATAAAAAGGAAGCCAGGGATTTAAAAGCCTTCTTCAAGATGTCTGTCAGGAACAGGGTGCCATCCTGAGTCTAAATCCAATCTCCATGAATGACCTCTGCTGGGCCACTGACCTTATCTATTACAAATATCCATATAGTTACCTGAGCAAGGCCCATTCAGGACACCCCAGATTAGGAACCACAAGAGCTGGTTCTGAGGGTCTTTCCAGAAGCAACACTCCATGGTTTTGTGAGATCTACACCTGAGATCCATCTAAACTCTCAATGCACATAAATGCTAGCATTTATCCTAGCTCCCAGGGCCCTGCACATGTGGGTTCACAGCTCACACCTCTTGCCACTATGTTTACGTTATGAAAAAAGTGGCTGAAAGAGGAGACTCACAAGGGCATCATTCTCTAACCACACACACACATACACACACACACACACACACACACTCCTGAAATTCTGCAAACTTTTACTTACACTAGCATTTTATTTTCTTCTTGTCATTTACAAACCATAAAACAGGTGATCTGGATGATTTTCTCCTTCTGAAGTTCCTCAATCTTTCATCCAGCTAAATAATAGCAGTCTGATGGAATGTTTCACTAAGAATGCAGACCTCAAACAAACCCACATAAATAGCGCCCTTGCCCTGGCACCAGCAAATTAAGAAATCCTGACATCTTTCCTTAATGCAGCAAGCCAAGCTGGCAAGATGCTGCCATTCCTTGTTCCACCTCCTCCCCTTGTACAATGGGCTATTTACAGAAGGCTGAAAGCACCCTTTTTGTCCAGCACTGGCTGGGCACAGTTTGAACCCCTGGGAGGAACAAGAGAGCAGCAGCCAGGCCACTTGCTGTTCTTTCACTCTGCCACTCCAAAACTGTCGGATTCGTGCTCCTTAACCTTGGCTGGCAAATTACCTAACACTAGATTTGCTTAAGCCATCGCCTCTTGAACCAAAAGAGCAGTTAGGCTGTCCCGAGGGAGGGAAGGATGTACATAAGTTACAAAGAGATGCCAAAGTCTCTCAGAGAGGAAGGCAGAGGCCGTTGTCCAAACCCATTCCTCACTGGAATCCATGACTATGGTCACTGCCCCTGGCCCATCCCACTCGCAACACAAGAAGGGGAAAGACCATTTGGGTAACTTTGGGATCCCATGTACAAATAAGCAAGTGGTTCTGCAGAGAATTAATTATTACCATCCACTGCCTTGAGGCTTTTTTCTCAACTAAGTGTAATGAACCTTAAGCCAATGGGTTTTTCATTTTCATTAAAGTGATCCTACAGATTACCAATTCAATTTCCACAGATTTGAAAAGGAGAATCAAAACACAGATGTCCTGCATTTATAAATTTGATTTCATAAAATATTCAAGTTGAATACCTCTATTCAGTACTTACGCCACTCCCTGCCTACCCTTCCTAAAGTTGTCACAGAAAGGAGGGGACACAAAGCTTTTAAACATAAGTATAAAGCTATGCTAATTTTTAGCCAATAAGCTCAGAGCCATATTTCATTCTTCCACTGGCCACAGGCCCCAATTATCATTTACACCCCCCACCAAAGATGCCACTTGAAAGATAAATTTTTAAAGATGAGATGATCAAATATTTACTTATAGTATTTTCTGTATTCCTTACACTCCATATATATTTAAGCAACATGACAAAATAAATTACTTTAAACATACTATGTTTTTAAATTCACAGTTGAGCATGATGGCATGTATCTGTGATTCCAGCACTCAGGAAGCTGAAGTAGGATCACCATGAGTTCAAGGCCAGCCTGGGCTACATAGTGAGTTTAAGGCCAGCCTATACTACAAAGTGAGACCCTTTCTCAAAAAACCAAAACAAACAAATTAACTCACAGTTCAGTAACATTTTATTACTATTTATTATTTTATGATTTATTAATGTTATTCCATTAACATTTTATTCTAATTTTATTTCATTTGACCATGCATTTTCAAACAAGGTCTTAGGCATCTTTAAAGCTACTTTGAAGCACCTAACAGGTTTCTACGAGGCATCTTCACGTTTTTCTCTTCCACTTAAATTAAGTTGAAGCATTTTTTAAAAACCATGTATGCATCTATTACAAAAAAATCCTAAATCCATAACAGCATATTTGAATATCAGTATAGGAAAAAATTTTGTCCTGTGGTTCCACATTTGTAAAATTAAACCTCATATATTTTTGCTTTTTAATCTGATTTTTAAAGATTTTTTATAACAATATCTAACACTTGCTTTTGTAAGGTCAAGTCCTAGGAAATAATTACTCAGCTAGTGCTACTTTTTTTCCTTAGAAAAAGTCAAATTCGGTTATTGAAGCTTTACAAGGAGACAAGACTAGGATTGGCAGAGATGGTTTTAGGACTAAGTACTTTCAAAGAAAGCACAGCCCATAAAATGAGGGCCTTATTGAGGCTTAAATACAAGGAGTGAGAGTATGGGGGAACCTTACCCTTCTATTAGGGCGTAAGAATTATTTCTTTTTTTTTTTTTTTGGTTTTTCTCCGGTACCAGGAACCGAACTCACGACCTTGCGTTTGCCAGGCAGGCGCTTTGCCGCTGAGCTAAATCCCCAGCCCAAGAATTATTTCTTATTTAGGTCTGAACACAAACGGAGGAAAATCTGCAGACTTCTGAGGTTTGGATGTAAAACACATAATGTAAATGTGCAGACATAAGAGTGCACAGCAAAGCAGGAGTAAGTGCAGATGGAATTCTGCAAGGGGTGGGCACATGGGCAGCTGATCCTCAAAGGATGAGTGTAGTAGAAGAAAATGAACTATGCTTCACGCCATAAGAACAGAAACAAGATCACAAAAGCTATCCCTACTCCAGTGCTAAGATTTGTTGGCACA